TTAAATTAAGGATTTCTATTAAACAAATACCATGGATATTTTTAATAGACACACAAAAGATCAGAAAAGACCACTACAATGTGTGAAACCAACAAGGGTCTATTACCAGTCTAGAAACAGAAGGAACTCCCGAAAATCAATAAGAAAAGTATGGAAAGTCCATTAGATAAAAATGCAAAGAAGTTGAAAAGGCAATTTTCAGAAGAAGAGTCCTGAAAGGATGCACAGGCACATGAAGAGATGCTTAATGGCATTAGAAATCAGATAAATGTCAATTAAACAACAATTAGGCATCCCTTTACATTTGTCAGGCTGGAAAAAACAGATAGTGAGGCAATGCCAAGCCTGGGGTTGGGGAAAGGGATGCAAGGACACTTCTGGAGGAGATAAATCTGTTCATGGGTCTACACCCCAAAGAAACTCTTCTGTGGGTCCCTAGGGTGTCTGGAGGGAGGTCCCTAGGGTCTCTGGAGGGAGGAAGAGGCAATTGGGACAGTATGTAAGTGAGATATAAGACATTCTGGAGTAAGCAGGAAGAAGCAATTTGGGGAGTAGATAAGATTTACAAGAGGGAATTTGGGAGTGCTAAGTGAAAAACATAGTGCTAAGTGAAAAACATAGTACTAAGTGAAAAACAAACAGATGAGACCTATACTCCAAAAACAGTTGCACACAAAACAATATGCATTCTATAAGAATGTATACAAGCAGAGGGCTTCACGTTAAACTAAAATAGTTAGGATGGGGAACAGCATTGGGGATGAAGAAAACAAACTCAGGGGCAAACATGAATGAGCTTCAGAAGGCATGTTCTTATTTCCCAGGACCTGCAGAGAGTGGCAGATCTGTTAGGGAGGGTGGGAGGGACAGAACTTCCCAGACACCCAGCTTTAGCGGAATGCCTGACACTCAATAGTTGCTTAATGTTTCATGAATGACTATGAATATGAGTCCAACTGGTGACATCATCCAGGATTTCACAAATTCCTTGATATTATTCTCCTGGAAGTCTGAGGCAGAGGAATCCGTGAGTTTGGCCCATGGGAAGGTGGTAAACTGACCCCATCCATTGTAACTTTTCTACTAAAAAGTCCTTTCTAATAAAGTGCCAAATTACATGTCTAGAAGGTACAGTTTGTTCAGTCCTAAGAAAGACATATATAAAAGCTGAAGCTAGATCAGTTGTCTATCCACAGTCTAGCAGTTTATTGGCACAAGTTCTTCAATAATATTGGGAAGAATTTATTATTAGTATTTGAGACAGACTTGCTCTGTTGCCCAGGCTGGAGTGCAGTAGCATGATCTCAGTTCACTGCAACCTCCACCTCCTGGGTTCAAGTGATTCTTGTGCCTCAGCCTCCCAAGAGCTGGGATTACAGGTGTGCGCCACCATGCCCGGCTAATTTTTGTAATTTTTTTTAGTAGAGATGGGATTTTGCCATGTTAGCCAGGCTAGTCTCAAACTCCTGACCTCAAGCAACCCGCCTGCCTTGGCCTCCCAAAGTGCTGGGGTTATTGGCATGAGCCACTGTGCCGGATCGATGGTCAATCTTTATGTAAACTATAATCTAAGGAAATTACAGTCATGCCAGCAATGGCATTTAGCTACTTTTACTAGTAGGAGCCACTTAAGGAATCTAAGCATAAACCTCCGGGTTCAAATCCGATTTTTCTGAATTTGAGATATCGGATCCTCTATCGTCAAGGGAGAAATGGTAATTATTTCACAGCTTGTACACAGAATAGGAATTTAGCCTGTTGCTGGGCCAGTCTCTTCTCCCCTATTTCTTTCTCTAGCTCATCTCTCATCACTAATCTCCTTGGTGGTTTTCTCATTTTTACCTTCTTATTGGCCTAAATCAGGTTTCTCAAACTTGGGATATTGGGCCAAATAGCTGTGGACGTCTGTCCTGTGCATTGTAGGATATTTAGCAGCATTTCTGGCCTCTACCCACTAGATGCCAGAAATACTCCCCAGCATGACAACTAAAATTATCTCCAGACATTGTCAAATATCTTCTGGGTGCAAAGCCATCTCTGGCTGAGAGCCACTGGCCTAGACAAAGAACCTGGAACACATCAGCACTTCTGTGCAAAACCCTTTTTAGAAACGTTCTTATTTGTTTTCAGGATACAAGATACAACATTCCCTTTGCTGCTTTTGGCAAATGTCTAAAATTAGAAGGTCAGAGAAGATGATTCTAGGTAACCACCTGGACAAATCTACCTGTGGCAAAAGGAAGGTTTGAGTCCACTTTCTGAATTAACCTAGAAACAAAACAAAATAAAACACAAAAATGTAACCTCCAAAGTGAATTAATTACTTGGGCAAATGTGGTTTTTGGGTCTCGATTTTACAGAGAAATTGGTGCGTTTTCCATTTGCCATGGACTGGCACGAGCTGGCTGCACAGGTGGAGGTGATGAAGAGAGAGAGTTTGGAGAGAGGTGAATGTTTGTTAGGATTCTGTCTCTCGAGCTTTGCCAGTGAATAGGAATCTTTTTTTCTGGGTTTTGTAAGATTTGCAAAAAGAGAACGATCCTGGTGTTCTTGAATTGGTTCTTTTGACTCAGTGGCCCTATGACCGGAAAAGCCTGTCCCAAAAATTAAGGTCCATAGAAACTAAAAAAACAAAAAAGCATGCAAAAGTCTTGAGGACCTATCTGACATAGTTCAACAAGACGAAATAAGGAAATCTTTGGTTGTTGCTGTTAATAGGCCCAGCACATCAGAAAATGTTTGTTGTTGACCATGTAGATGATTGTGATGAGAGAGGGGCAGGGGAATTAGGTTTCAACTGGCTCTTGCTTAGGCGTTTTTACAGCTGTAGTTGTTCTTTCTAATTAACTGGTCTAGGACCAGATTTAGGGAGATTAGATACCTCAAGAGGGTCTTCTAACTCTGAACCAGGGGTTCTAAATCCTCTCGATTTATAGTGGAGAAAACAGAAGCAACTACTTTTCTCCAGTTCCACGTTTTGGTTGAGGGGATGGAGACACACAATGGGTCAGAGCAGGAATTCATTGCCATGACGATGAGGCCTGGGATATGGTGGACAGTGAAGAACTATGACAAAAAACACTGCAGAAAAAGAAGACGTGGGAGGAGTTGGGAAGCATATGAAAGGAAAAAAAGCCAAAGAGAAATGACAAGATCAATTATTTGGAAGCTTAATGGTGTGCGTCTTAGAAGAAAAGCTTTCTGAGCCAGGCACAGTGGCGCATGTCTGCAAGTCCCAGCTTCTTTGGAGGCTGAGACAGGCAGATCTCTTGAGCTAGGAAGTTCACGGCCAGCCTGGGCAACACAGCAGGACCTGTCTCTAAAAAAGAAATAAGAAAAGCTTCCTGAATGAAAGAGGTTAGAATCCTGTAGAATAAGGGGATCCTGGCAAACAAGTAACTAAATGAGGAAGAGAAGAAGGGCTTTTTCTGAAGTTCATAGTGAATCCATGGGAACATTAATCCCCAGTCATGCTTGCCATCCATACGGTGCTGCTGCATTCCCAGCCTTCTCTCACGACATCTCATGAAGGCCCAGTGAAATGAGCCAGAAAAGAGCTCATTTTACAGATGAGAATAAGAAGTTCAGAAGAACAGAGACTTTTTCAAGTTTATAAAGGAAAACACTGGTTTTCTTTATCCCATTATAACACATAGCCACTTGGGCTCAGTAGATTCTCAGAGAGTAGATTTTATAAAATAAGATCTCAGAAAACTGATTTAAAATGGAATCAAACAGGGGATGGTGGCTCATGCCTGTAATCCCAGTAATCCCAACACTTTGGGAGGCCAAGATGGGTGGATCGCTTGAGGTCAGGAGTTCAAGACCAGCCTGGCCAGCCTGGCCAACATGGTGAAACCCCATCTCTACTAAAAATACAAAAAAATTAGCCAGGTGTGATGGCATGTACCTGTAATCCAAGCAACTCGGGAGGCTGAGGCAGGAGAATCGCTTAAACCCAGGAGGTGGAGGTTGCAATGAGCAGAGATTGTGCCACTGCCCTCCAGCTGTGGGTGACAAAGTGAGACTCTGTCTCAAAAAAAAAAAAAAAAGAAAAAATTGAATCAATTTATCTAACTTATCTGGAGAAGGAATCTAGAGGGGAAAACACTAAAAGAAGAGGTCTATTTTAAAGATTTAAACAAATCTTTACTTTCATGGCAAATTTTACATTTTTCCATTCCATTTAAAATATTTTCCATAGCTTAGCTGAACCAGGCTGCAAGTGGATGCCTGGAGTGATGGAGGCGATACACCATGAAGTAGACATGACAATAAAGGAAGGGGAGATAACAGTCTTCTTTGTTTTGCTGGGGGCCAGTCATCTCTAAATTCTTGGAAAATTGAGAAAAAGTTAGTGGGCCATTTCCTTACTGAACTGCAGACCTCAGTGTCAGGGCAGAGTTATCTCTACAAAGCAGGGAGAGAACACAACAAATAGAGCTTGGCCTCACCGCACTCTCTGGCTTTCGGGTCACATTTAACGTGACAGAGTTGAGCCTGTTCTTGGAACGCAAACCCAAAAGATTAAGGCACCAGGCCATGTGACCATTCATCCAGGTGGGTGAAGGTTCCAGCACTTGGGGAAAAGGAGCTAGGCAGGCAACGAAATCAGGTACATAAGAAGAAATCATTTTGTTTTTTTCAACCATGGTCTGCGTTGAGTAAAAACTCATTTTAGAATTAATAGAGAATTTCTTCATCTGCTCTGAGCAATTGCTGGCTTGATTTTATAGCTGAATTCAACCGCATGGGCTCATCGAGCATGCCATAATTTAGTTTTCACTGCAAGGAGAAAATGAGAGTCTATTTCAAATTTTGAAGAAATATTGAGGAAATTAAATAATTATCTGGATAAAAGTGCATAAGGGGTGCGTGGAAGCAGAGATAAATGAACACTGCCAGCCCTTCATAAATGTATTATTATATTTGTGTATAATTTATCACCTTGGATTTAGGAATGAAAACTGATTATATTTCAAAAGCAGCTAAGTAGAAACTTACTTGAATTTGAGCAACAGATAGAACCAAAGAGAAGAGAATAGACAGACTGAAATTGAAGCATCCAATAAAATAGCATTAAGAGCGTGGTGACTGGGAGAAGGTTAGGGGTCCTGCCTTCTTGAAATGTTATATTGGCTCTTGATCCCATAGTCTATACGTAGTGCTTTGGGAATAATGGTGCTTTCCCAGGTGCTAACTCTACCAACCAACATAGAGAACCATCAAGGTGTGTAGCATTTCCTCTAATATTATTTCTTTTCAGTCCTTTGAGAAAAGTTAAAGTCAGTGTCATTGCTGTCATGCAGCTTGGAGGCCTGGGAGATATGAGGTCATGTGAAAATGTGCCAATTTTAACATTGTGTATCAGGAGGAGTTGGGGAAGGGAAGGAGGGTCCTGCCAACTTTCTTCTGTCATGAAAAATAAAGAGGACTATGGCTGGTACTCCAAGCTGGAGCAATGCCCTTCTCTATGAGTGCATAAAAGACCCAGGTAGACTTGAGCGGGGAGGACCCAGAGAGGCCCTTGAGGCTGGAGAGATTTAGCCTTAACCTAAATCTCTTTGGGCATGCCTCCCTTGGAGCATCCTCCAGAATGCTGGGCAAATTGTTGGCAGATTCAGGGCCTTACAGATAGCATAGGACAGTGAGAAAGCATACAGGTTAACAGTGTGGGCTCTTGAGTCAGATAAACCTGGGTTTGAACGTGAACACTGTCACTTCTTGGCTATGTGATTTTAGGCAAATACCTTACTTCTCTAAAGCCTGTTTCTCTTGCCTTTAAAATGGAAATAACAGTATATCAGTCTCATGAGATTCGCTGCTGCCTGGAACACTGTGAGCACTCAATAAATGGTAGTTATGAGGGTGATTTCATTTCTAAAGCCATATGAAGTCAAGTGTCATCATATGACAAATGGTAAGTGCAGCAGTCGTAAGGCATGGCCTAGGCACTTGGGAGCCCACGACAAACAGCCGTCCTGAGAGCTCCCTGGGAGGAGTACCAACATTCCGTCCCCATTATGCAGCCCTGGACCCCATTAGCCACCCAGCCCAGTATCCTACCTCATTCCCAAATGACCCGATAGACACAGTAACTGGTCCCATGTTGCAACACAATTGGGATTTTTGCATAAGAGTTCGAGTTAAACAGACGTGAGTCATCTTATTCTTTGGTTCCATAGCATTTGGCTATGCAAGTTTCATATTCTCTTGGCTTCCTTTTTCTCCAGTGCCCAAGACCAAAGAGTGGGAGCAGAAAGAAATGGCAATGGCTGCAAGGGCATGGGGGGAACCATCACTCCTATATGCCTTCCACTGGAAGTGAGGCTGGAAGGGTATTAGGCTGGATTCGTTGACACCTTTGATGATTCTGTAGGAGGCTTTGCCAATGTCTTATATTTTGAAATTCATGGCAAGATGTAAGCAACAGATTTGGCAAGAGGAAATATTATAACCTGAAAAATGGGACAGATTAGAGTCACTAGAAAAGCAGCACAACCAGAGAGAAGGGAAGGGGAAAAAAGGATGACAGAATAAAGGGGAAAGAGAGAAAAGTAGAAAAGGAAATTGAAGAGAATGAAGTGTTCTGGTGCTGATGAAGCTTAAGAATCAGGAAGTGATAATAACAATACTAGTTATCGGAAAGTAGGAATGAGATGGTTAGAAAGCCTCAAACGAAAAGTTAGGAAGGAGGGGGTCTTTCAGGCATTGTGTGATCCATCTCCTTTCTTTATGGCTAAAGAGAAGAAGAAAGAGAAAAAAGAAGAGAAATAGAGAACCCTATGTGTCTGGGCCTTTAGGTCTAGGGGATTGGACTATGATTTATGAGACTCTTTCCACAGCTAATAATCTATGAATTTGTAAGTCGTGTATATTTTTCAGATTCCTTATTTGATTAAGACTTATTTATCACTGTGGTCTGTGTAACTTCCAATGAAAGCCATGTTGTGATGGATAACGTGAATGCATTTGATTTTTCGCAGTTCTCAAAAAGTCAGGATCATAATGCCCTTCAAAGTTCTAAGTAGCTTATATAGTGTGATCATGTTTTTAAAAAGTTAACCAGCCTTCAGGTATGTCCTGGGACTAATGCTGCTTTTGGGGAGATAAGAATCTAGGCCAGAACCAGGTCCTAGAACTTTGTGGCACTCATTTGGGTGATTCCTCAGTTTCCCTGTTGTTCAGCTCTACGATATCTGTTTCCTTAGTGTCCAGGCTTTCCATTAAATACAGCATATCAGGAGAGACTCGAGAGCCAGCCACAACGTTGATCCCACTGACCTCTGAGGATGTTTCTGTGTCAATTAAAAGAGCTGGCTGAGAGCTCATGGGGTCTGGACTTAGGTTTCCTAGGGAAGTGTGGCTGGACTCCAGGAATCCTGGAAAGCTCCACCTTTTTAGAAAGGTATCACCAGGGTCTTCTTCACAGTTGAATATATTTTCCTCGGCACTGGCTGAAACAGTCTGGAGACCGGGGCCTCTGGGAGGTGTTTCCTTCTCTGAAGGAGACAGGATGGATCCCATGGGGCCCCGCTGCTGCTCAGTCTTGCTTGGCTGAACCCCTGTAAACTCAGAGCTCGAGATGGAGGTAGCGGAGTCATGGTGGTAGCTGTCTGAAGTGGGCACCGGAGCTTCGGCCGCTGTGATCAGTACTTCGGGCACCAGTGGCATTTTGATGGGCGAGGTTCTCACACTGGACTGTGGGGTCAGGCTCTGTAAAGTGCTTGTCTGGCTGGTCTCCCTGATGGTGGACAGCTCTCCGATGCTGGAGCGCAGTGTGGGGCTTCCTTCTGGGAAGGAGGATTTCTTCCAGATGGGTGAGGCCCTGTGGGGGTTTCTTAAGGGCACATCCAGTAGATCCCTGGCTGGGCTAAGGTCATCTCGGGGTAAGAACATGGAGCTGTCACTTGTCTGCCTTCTATAGCTTCTTCTTCTGGGGCTGGAGGGGTGTTCGTGGGCACTCAGGAACCGCTTGACTCTTCTTATCATGGAATGCCGGTGGCCATGCTTCTCATAATTCCACAGCCACTCCTCATCAGGAAAGTCGGACCCAGACAGCCTGAAACACACAATGACAAGATCCAGGCAGAGTAGCTTCGGGGGCCTAGTTTTGGGGGCAGAGTTTCAAAGTTAAGAGATGAGTTTGGTATGTTTACCTTATATATTTTTAAATGGGGGTTTGAGGACTTGAGATAGTCTAGCAGAGGCTCTCACATCTTTGATCTCACATTCCTTTTAAACTCTTAAAAATTATTGAGTATCCCAAAGAGATTTGCTTATGTGGGTTATACTACTCTTTACTGTATTTAAAATTATAACTGGGGAATGTCTGAAATGCAAGCATGTACAAGCACACATTCCATTTACTGCTAAGTGATGACATCATCACATATTTTGTGGCTTCTGGAAAATTCCTCTGGACACTTGACAGAATGAGAATGAAAAAGGCAAATAACATGTTGTGCTATTATGAAAACATTTTTGACCTTCAGGACTCTCTGGAGGGGTCTTAGGGATCCCCAGATATCCCCAGACCACACTTTGAGAATCCCTGATCTAGAGACTTAGACATTGAGAAATATCTATATATCTATATCTATGAATCTATCTATCTATCTATCTATCTATCTATCTATCTATCACCTAGTACATATTCTTTCTCCCTTAGTACAGTTGAATTAAAGTCATGTTTCCCAAGGACCCATAAAACCCCCCCTTAACAATGGATGAGAGAAAATTCATGAGAGTGCAATGACCAGTTCACATTTATTGACTATATACTAAGGCCCAGCTAAGCACCTCCTATGCATTGATTCATTCAGTTATCACAATAATTAGATGAGTTGGTATTAGTATTATTATTTACACTTTACAAATGAGGAAACTGGGGCCTGGAGAGATTCACTAAATGTACGCAGCTAGCGAGAGCAAATTCGGAAGTCTGGCTCCAAGTCCCTGCTCCTAATCGCTTTGATGGAAAGCCTGCTAGAGCCCAGGGCGGAAGAGTGAGTAAAGCACAGTTGTTGCTCAGAGGTAATTTGTAAACATTCCTGATGAGCTTTGTATTTACATCTGTACAATTAGGGTTAAAACAAGAGAAACTGGAACCTTGTGGAAAGGATATATTCATCCAGGTAGGGTGAACTTGCATCACGATTGGGCTCCCTTTGTGATTAAATTTGATGGATTGGCTACCAAGAATTTCCTGCTGGATTTTTACCATTTAAAAAATAAAACAAATAATTCTACCATTTAGTTAAATAATTATTTATTTGAGACAGAGTATTATTCTGTCGCCCAGGCTGGAGTGTAGTGGTATGATCTCAGCTCACTGCAACCTCCGTCTCCCAGGTTCAAGTGATTCTCAGGCCTCAGCCTCCTCAATAGCTGGGATTACAGGCAGGTGCTACCACGCCCAGCTTATTTTTGTATTTTTAGTAGAGACAGGTTTTACCATGTTGGCCAGGATGTCTTGAACTCCTGACCTCAAATGATCCACCCACCTTGCCCTCCCAAAGTGCTGGGATTACAGGCATGAGCCACCACGCTTGGCCAATCCTAACATTTTAAATCTCCTTCAGGACTGATATAAAATGAATAATTGAGGTGAGATAAGCCTGTTTGGTAATTTGGTCTACTCTGGCCTCGGATTACATAGTTATTTGCTACACATCTCCGTGGACTTACAGCCTTAATGGGGTTTGAAGAACAACTTAAAGCCTTGCCCTTGAATTACAAATGCTCATCGTGCTAGCTCTGGGAGCAACAGTAATCAGCCAGTCTCAGTCCAATATTGGTAGAGACATCTCTGGTGACAAGATGCCGTGTGCATTTTATGTGACATGAAGGAAAACATTGAGACGGTATAATATTGGTGTAACTTGAAAGGGCAAAGCAAGCAGCCAAAGAAACATCGTTCCTCATGTTTATGAATAAAACATGGATGACTGAGATGATTAACTGGCTGAATGTGCCGGACGGCGTTCGATTACAGCCTTGTGCTGTTTTTCTAAAGCCCCAGCAGCGCCCTTGGCTACCAGATAGCCTTCTGATCCACCCTCCACTGTGTGAGGCTCAGATTCTATTACATCGACTTGAAAAATACAGACTCATGCTTCAGTGGCCTTGGTGACCCTGCTGGGTGGATTGCATTTGGTCAACTCTCCAGTCACACTCCACAGGCACCGATTTACTTAGGGCGGAGGACACCAGCGGAGCCACAAGTGAACTTGTTCACTACCATAGCCACTCTGGATGTGTTCTGGGAATCAAGGACAAGCTGGCAATCTGTCTATATAGGACAAGCATCTGTCTTCCATTTGGGATCTCAACTATTTATTTAAGATTTGTTTTTTTAAACTACCTCTAAAGGATGCAGTATTATAAGACAGACAGTCTTCTATGGAAAAAAGTTTTTATTTTTAATACCTCAAAACTTTGTGACTCAAAGACAAAAACTTTATGCCCTGTTGTAGGACGTATGTATAAGACCTTCAACTGCAACAAGAGGTATAAACCCCTGGGTCATAGATGGGGGAAAAAGACAAGTTGCAACAAGCAAGCTGCAGAACATCTAGTGTTCTTGCTAACATTCTACTGATTCATGACTGACATTGGGTAGGTCTGCCAAGAAGACCTTATTGTACCTTCCTGGCTCATAAGACTATGGAGTGGATGCATGAAATTTATCTGTTTATTCACCCGACTAAATTTATTGAGCACTTATCATGAACAATTTGCTGCATTAGGTACCTTTTAAATGATCACTGAAAAGGAGAGAGAAGACATATAAATAAATATCTACAGTTGGGGCAAAGCAAATTTTTGAGCTGGGCTTTGACACTGAGTGGGAATTGGATAGATAGGAAAAGGACAGAGCATTCCACATGAAAGAAGTGACTTGAACAGATAAGGCAGCAGGAAAGTTGAGGGTGTTTGTGAGAAATAGGAGGTACTTGAATCTGTGTGAAACACAGAAAAGTGTCAGGCCTAGGCTGGAAAGAGGTCCTTAGACTGTGCCATGAAGAGTCGTATAGCAGGTTGCGGGATGTGGACTTTATCCCAGAGACAGAGGGAAGCTGTGGATTGTTTTTGAGAATGGAGGGCATTGCTAGGGTTGTGTGGTGTTGGTAGGGGTGTCCATGGTGGAAGGCTACACAAAAAGCAATGTTGATGATTGCTTTGGATAAGAAACATGACTTGAAAACTTTTCACTCCTTTAGTCTGAAACACGGTCTTTGGAAGAACACTTTGTGTTCTGTGCTCTTGGGGGCAGTTTTACATATCTTACGCTGAGTGATGAATGATGTCCTCCAGGTCTTAATGCTGTAACAGAGCAGTAGGGAAACTCCCCAGCATGACAAACCTAATGACATTTCTTCTGAATGCTTCCATGGAAGATCTAAACACACAATGTTCATCTCCTCCTTTCTCTGGTAGCCACTATTCCCAATATGACAGCAGAAGATGTGCTTTAAGAACAAAATAGTTTAAAATAGAATACTTATTTATTTATTTATTTAGAGACAAGGCCTCACTCTGTGACCCAGGCTGGAGGGCAGTGGCACAATCATGGCTCACTGTAGCCTTGACCTCTTGGGCTAAAGCGATCCTTCCACCTTAGCCTCTCAAGTAGCTAGGACCGTAGGTGTGCACCACCATGCCTGGATAATTTTTTATTTTTGGTAGAGATGGGGTCTCCCTATGTTGCCCATGCTGGTCTTGAACTCCTGGCCTGAAGTGGTCCTCTTGTCTTGACTTCCCAAAGTGTTGGGATTATAGGTGAGAGCTACCACACTCGGCCTTAGAATAGTTTGAAAGAGTATTTCCCAAATGGGAGGCTGGGGTATAAATTTTAGTTTATTTTATGTTTTTTTTTTTTTTTCTGCTCCTTATTTGATATTTAAAGTATCCTCTTAGTCTAGGGTTAGTACAATCCTGAGGCTCAATATAATACCACTTAACCAACTAATAGCAGAAATATTATATGATAGAACAAAAGTACCCTCATTATATTCCTATTAGAGAGAGTCAGCTGAAAGAGCTCGGTTTTATGTTCTGGAACTTATTTGGACTGAGAGAGGCAGGCAATTAGAGATAGGAGGACATTCATGGAAAGTGTCATGCAGCCATCAGTTTCCAGGGATGAAATTTGAGAACTGTCTCTGTGGTGGGAAAAATAATTTATTTTGAGAACTTGCAGAGCCAGGATTGCTGCTGTCCATGCTGACACCAACCAGCTGTGTGATCTTTGGGGACTCATTTAATCTATTGTGACTTAGTATCATTCTTGGTAGCTGGTGATAATTATCCTTTACCTGCGTTTGAAAGTTCAAAAGGGGTGACATGTGTAGAAAAGCTTTGAAAGTAGAAGATGTAAAAAGGACTCTGTCAATGACTGGCAAACTTTCAGAAGTGGTTTCCAAGTCATCATTGACTTCTCATACAGGGTTGGAGGAGATGATAATGTGTTTCTGAAGGTCACTCTCTTTTCTTCTTCAAGATTGTCCTTTTAAAATTGTTACTACACCAGGAGATATCACTTAACAATTAACACCTCCAAAAGGGATGACTTAGCCATTTAATGATAAGCCATTTAATGATAGGGCACTGGGCGCGTGAAGAGGAAATATAAGAACTGGAAGAAGCTGGGTTATTCGAGGGAAGGAAGAGAGGGCTGCTCAAATGGTGAAAATTGTGGAGACAGACTGCCCTGACCTTGCCTCTCAATATTGTTTTTTTTGTGCCATTTGCCAAACATCATCAAACTCTGCAATATACACTTATTGTGCAATAGAAACCATCAATACAAAAACATAGAAAACATGAGAATGAGAACGATTGTGTCATATATTGGGCTATTTTTGAAAGGGAGAAGAGTAGAAGAAGGAGAGAGAGAAAAGGTTCTGTTAAGCCAGTCAGGCTAGTTAGTTATAGGTGAGTCCAGAAGAAGGAAGAGCACGTATTATTTCCACAGATTAGATAGATGTCTGGATTAAAATAATTTTAATCTCAAGTATTAATAAAAAACCCAAATTTCAAAATCTATATGGAATACCT